CTCACTCGGACCCTTTTCTGCAGCTCAGTCATGCCAATTTGAAAATTCAACCTGCTAAATGACTTCAGCTTACCAACAGAGAATTTGGTCAGGATGTCTATCGTGAGGAGATGCACGACCCCCCACCCCCCAAAAAAAGTCTTCGGAATTTTTGAAAAGATGCAGGACGTGTTTTTTTTTCCCCATCATTTCAAGGTGATTTTCATTTGGCTTGGTCGTTTCAGGAAAATGCAGCCCCCTGAGCCAGGTTTAGTTCGCAACATGAAATTTGGTCGGCACATTGATCACGAGAAGACCTACAAAAAAAGTCTCCGGAAGCCATGCCTCAAAAAGTACGGAAAGTCAGCCAATTTGTTTCAAATTGGCCATCTTCATAGCTTTCGTCCACTAACGACACTGAGCAAGCCCAAAATGAAAATGTGAATTAAAAAAAAAAAATGTTGGTTGGCAAGTCTGCCATGAATCAACCTTGCAAAAATATCTCAAAAACAAGCACAGGAAAAGGAAGTCTGCAATTTTGATTTGAAGCAGTATTTTTGGTTCAATTTGGCTCTCGAATTTGGTGGTGCTCTCAAGTTTTTTTCGGAAAATTCAAAGGTCACTTTCACTGAGCAAGAATTTTGAATACACCCACAAAACAGCCTCAAGAATCATCTGCCGTTTTGGTTTCAATTTTTAGGGTCAGTTTGGTGACCACTTACATTTGGATTGGCAGTGCCAGCCGGTTGGATTGTTGGAGGAAAATTCATCCCCAGAAGCCAGTGTCACATAGGCATGCCTATCAGGAGTGCAGCCACCAAATACTTTTCGGAAGCCACACAAATTTTCATTTGGAAGTCATAAATTTTGTGATTTGGTCGAAAATGGGGGAGGTGGAATCTTTTCTCTAAATCCTATCAATTATATTCACGTTTTCTATTTTTATAGTTTTGATTCTGTCAACCTAAAAGCATGAACTGGAACATTGTGACTGTTTTGCCAAAAATAATAATAAAAATAATAATAATTAAATAATTTTTGGCATGGGCCCTTTTTTTTTTTTTTTTGTTTTGGACGTTTACTTCAGCTAAATTAAAAAGCACAATACACCCAACTAAAAATTCACTTGAACTCAACATATTTTGGCCAGACGATGAGTAACTTTGCAATCATGCCGGATATTTCGAGCACAACGAGTACAAGATGTCCCCGTTAAATCAAACCATGTACACGTCCAAGGGGTTACCGTGGCTACAGTCGCCGGGACATGACGTCCGGCAAAATGAGGTCAGGGAGAACGAGAGCCAGAGAGAGAGAGAGAGAGAGAGAGAGAGAGAGAGAGAAAGAGAGAACCTGTCTAGAAATTGTCCCTTTGCCATCACTTCAATTAGCTTTATTGCTCTGCAGTCCTTGACGAGCGCGCGGCTCTCCGCGAGCCCTTCCTCTCTGCCCTCCAACGCCATCAGCTAAAAGGTTGCGCCTCGCGCAAAACTTCCCCCGTCCCAGCTCGCCCACTTTTAGGCCAACACTCGTCAAACGCGCTTACTATTGCAGATGTGTGCATCCGAGTCAAGATGTACATTCGGGCGTCAATTGAAGCTCGTTTTATTTGGCGGCGTGAAATTTGGTGGGTGAGTTTTTGCATTGCCCCTCAAAGCGAGAGTCTGAGCGCTTCCCGCCATGTTCTGGATCGGAGGGTTGAAGAACAATTTGTGACGAGACGGGACGGGAAAGGGCGGGAGGGCGCCGGGGTTGATCATGTGCGCGTTAGCATTCGGCTGAGCTCAGCAATAATGTTCGAGTAAGAAAATGAAGAGGATGGAGAATGCGGTCGGGAGCGGCAGAGTGCTTCCGCCCCGTGAAAGCTCGGTGAAGGGAAAGCCTGACACTCCCAAGGCCTGAGTGTGGACTCGCCCCTCCCCCGTCCCACCCAGGCGGTGGACTCTCCCAAGCGGGAACGTGATCGGGGCGTACCACCTCGTCGGGGTGGTGGTGGGAGCGGGTACGGTAGTTTGTAGCAGTCTGTAGAGTGCCCGTGTGAATAACTGCCAATGAATTTCTTGGGACTGGGTGAAGCAGCACGTGGATCGCGGCCTGCACTTAATTTTCTCCCCCTTTGTTTCAAGTAACTTGATTATTATTATGATTTTTTTTTTATTTACGTTTGTCGCCGTCAGGCAACTGCATATTGAGCACAAGTGCTGCATATTTGAGTTTGTACATGTTCGTCTGTCGCGATCTGACTTCATTGCAACATTTTCTGGTCAGCGTGTGCGATTTTTTTTTTGTTTTTTGTTTGGTGTGTGTGTGTGTTGAAACTCAATTCTTCCAATTTCAAAGGAAATTGTCATTGGTCTTTTTTACTTTACTACAAGCCAGGTCGTCGGAGTGCTCAAAATCGAAATTTTACTCGATTATAGCATGTGACAGGGCTATTTTATTATTATGATTTATACAACAAATGCTTCCATTTTTTATTCCACAATCATGATCTTTTAATACAGCTGATGCTTGCCATTTTCGAAAAATTGGTTCATCACATCGACGTTTGTTCGACATCCTCTTTCTCTTTGAATCATGAAAAATATCAATTCAATAAAAACAATTCTTTTCGATTCCAGTCCACTTTTTAAAAAATATTTTTCTGATTTGTATTCCAAATGTGGCAAAATATTCCTGGATTTCAAAAACAATAACAGACTAAAAGAGAAAGTAAATCAACGTAAACTAAATGTTAAAGTCAAGGTCAAGGTCATCTTTATTGTCAAATATGCTTTATGTATGACATGCAGCATAGATGAAATTACAAAATTAAATTAAATACATACATATCAAATACATACTAATACAAAGTTAAATTTCAAAAAGAAGTGAATTATATTAATTGACAAGGGGAAATTTTTTTTTTCTAATAAATTGCCCTGCGACGAAAGAGGTTGCATCAGACATCGATTGCATCGATGCGTATCTGTTTGGCAGTTTTTTTTTTGGGGGGTGTGAAAAAGAAAAACAGCGGTATCTGGTGGGCCGGTGCCGCTAATTCAGCCGACCCGCTGTCTGTTTCCCGCTGGCGTGTGTTGGTTCAAATATGCACGAGGCCCATTCGTGTACCTCCTCGGTGTTTGTGTCGTGGATGTGGGGGTGGGGGTGGTCCTCGGTCGGGGACACTGACGGGAAAGAAGCTCAAGCTGTGTGGACACATGGCACTCCCACAATGTTTACACTGTGCGAACACACACACACACACACACACACACACACACACACACACACACACACACACACACGCGCGCGCGCGTAAGCACATGCAAGCACACACTCAGTGGTGACATCATGCACCTGACCCTGTGTGTGTGTGTGTGTGTGTGTGTGTGTGTGTGTGTGTGTGTGTGTGTGTGTGTGTGTGTGTGTGTGTGTGTGTGTAGGCGGCCATCAAGGGACAGGTATAGAGGGGTGGGGCTTGAGGTGGAGGACGGCCGCCGGAAGGGGCTGGGCGCGGGGGGTTGGAGAACGATTGCTTGGCATCGCCGCGGCAACGGATGAAATTCCATCAATGAGCCCGAACCGCGTTGCCACGGTTACACTTGTGAATGAGAGCAGGCTGGTAACCGTGGAGACTCGGGGAGCAGAGAGAGGACTCTGTGGTTGCCGAGGCAACGGAGACAGGAAGCATGGGAGAGACCTGGTCCGAAGGAGCCCCCTCCCCCCGGCCCCCCGCCCTTCCCCCGATGTCGTACCCCGCATCGTCATCATCTAAGTCTTTAATTACGAGTCGGTCTTTGAGGGACAATTCCGAGATCTGGTTCAAGTCCGATTCCGGTCCGAAAGCACATCTTAGACCGGCCACAGTCAATTTTGCATAAAAAGTTTTCCTTCAAAGGAATTTTTGGTGCACGCGAAATTATTATTTACAATTATTTTTTCCCCCCAAAATTCAGGTCCGAGTCTTGGTCAGATTTGGGGGACTTGAAGTTTGTGTCTTTAGGCTCAAATCCATTCCAGTTTGTGAAGGGCAAATGGAGTTATTTTCTTGAAGCTCAGGTCCAAGTCTTGTTGAAGTCTTTGGGGAGACAAGACCAAGTCAAGTCCTGAACATTTTGGACACACGTGCAACTCCCGTGTCTTGAAGTTTGGGTCCAAGTCGGGTGTCCCCCAGGAATGAGACTAAATCTTGCTTCTGTGTAAAGCTTGCTGGGAGACAAAGACGAAGACAAAACTTTTGATGGACATACTTCCGGTCCGAGTTCGGTGTTGTTACTTCGCTCCACGTCGTGTTTCTTTCGGCCAAAATCAAATCTTTGAGAGAGAACGAATACTCGAACATTTGAGCGACATGTTGGAGTCTTTAGGTTCAAGTCTTAGCCCACTGCAGTTTTTGAGGGACAAATTCAAGTCCAGTCCTTCGTCTTGATCAGATTGTTTGCAGATGAGACCAAATCAAGACAAACATTTTAAGGATATTTCCAAGCCTCCTGTCTCGCCGTGGCATGTTTACGTGTGCGCCCGCAAGGTGTTTCCCAGCCGTCGCCGCCTCTGTCATCACTTCGTCTAAACACGGCAATGGAATGTCACACTTGAGACAGTCGGGAATATCACTTGCTTCCCATCCGCCCACTCTTCTCTCACCCGCCGCCTCGGAGGAGATGCCCACTATCGTGTCGCCGGCCAATTCCCATGTGTCGTTTATCCATTAAACAGTGAGGTGGAGCAAGAGTCACGCACGGGAGACTTATTGCGAGTTTTTGTGTCGTGTGTGGGCGGTGGATAGTCGCGAACGTTTATTGGAAGCCACAGAATTCTGGCTGGTAAATTGGTTGCGCGTGCCCCCTGGATTTTTTTGGGTTTTTTTTCGTTTTAAAAATTTTGCCACTGAAGCCACACAGCAACCTAAAACTGGTGGACTTGTCTTTCCTGACTAGTCCCACAAAAAAGAAGAAAGGAAGCGAGATGGAAGAAGTCTGCCATTTTGGTTCTCATGGCCATTCGGGCCATATTTCCAGAGGTCCTTCAGGGATGAGGTGCGGGTCTGGAAATTCTTGAACAATTTAGCACTTGGAGCCCACTCCACATTGCAAAAAACATTTTGGTGTCCATGTCTATCATGAGTCGACCGAGAACAAAAAGCAACATTTAAAGAGGCAATAAGAGAAAAGACAGGAAGTCTGCCATTTTGGCTTGAAGTGACCATTTTGGGCAGAGGGTGGTTTTCGAGTTGTCCTTCAGAGATAAACGCGATGGGCCCAATCGGAGGAAATTCATGGGCGGCCCCGACTGGCAGAAATATACCAACGCAAATCTCAATTCCTTGCACTCCATTTGATGTCCTTCAATCAAGTCATTTATGCGCCAGAATGCCAACCAAAGCCCCGAAAATCACAGCCTGCAGCGATTCCCCCTACTGGTCGTTCCTGTGCACTGTGAGCAGGATCTTCCGTTGCCAGGGGCGACTGCATCCGGGAGTGTGGGTTTTTTTCTTTCTTCTTGTCTAGCGTTGCTCGGTTGAATGCTGACACTCTGTGGAGACGCCGATAAACGGCATTTAGGAAGGAGACTTACTTTGAGGCCGGTGACTGCAAATATGAACTCACGGGGCCGATGGCGGAAAGCTTTGCGCCATTGGTCTCGAGGTTCCTCGCTTATTGATTTTATTCTTTTTTTTTGTTGAGCACTCGTGGTTTCTTTTTTTTCCTCATGTCCCATCGCAGGATTTTATCATCCCTGCGCTCTTACATTGACCTGAGGACCCTCCGAGCCGTTCGAGTGCTGCGGCCTCTCAAACTGGTGTCGGGAATCCCCAGTAAGTGCGCAAAATTCCCCCAGCGGCCACTTCGCTGAGTGCCGATTCCCTCTCGAGGTGTCGGCTCGCGCCGTGTGTCCTCCAGGCCTGCAGGTGGTGCTCAAGTCCATCATGAAGGCCATGATCCCGCTGCTGCAGATCGGCCTGCTGCTGTTCGTGGCCATCCTGATGTTCGCCATCATCGGCCTGGAGTTCTACATGGGGAAGTTCCACACCACCTGCTACGATGACATCACGGGTGAGCCTCGGACAACATGTTGCTATTTGAACAGCGGCACGAACACCGAGCAACATTGAGTGCATTGTAGCCATGCTTCTATTTGCTACGACTGCTGTTGCCGCTTCGGGTAGACGTAGACCGATGTGGGTTGTTTTCAGAGCCTGCGTCGATGATCGATAACCTGAAGTAAATATCTCTGAGGTAAATCAAGTTGTCCAAAATTTCTAAATCATTGAAATGGAAAATTTGTACTTGTATTTGTTTCATTTCAAGCACAAAAAAAAGGTGCTCAGATTTCCCCAGAGTCAGCGGCATGTTACCCCAGTTTTAAATTGATCTCGTGTCGACGGCCAGATTAAAAAAACAACAACAAAAAAAAAAATCTGATTAAAAAAAAAAATGCAGATGCTGATATTTGTTAAATGACAAATATCAGTGCCGGTAATCGTCCCAGCCGATAATCCGTCTATCCATCCATTTTCCGAGCTGCTAGCTAAGAATCCTGTGACAAGAGCAGTCAACAGCTTCGCATGTATCATATTTTTGGGAACATGCGATGCTGCTGACTATTCTTGCTGCCTACAATGTTTCTGTCAGAAGCAGCAAGATGGATCTATTAAAAAAATATATATATATATATAGGGGGACTGGAACAGATTAATATATATTTTTTTTTTTTGCTAAATAAATTGCTGCCGGCGATTCGAGGTGCCCGTAATGCTCTTTTTCCACCAGGCGAGATCGTGGACAAGGTTCCATGCGGCCTCAAGTTGCCGTCCAGGCTGTGCCCCAACGGCACCACGTGTCGGGACGGCTGGATCGGGCCCAACTACGGCATCACGCAGTTTGACAACATCCTGTTCGCCGTACTCACCGTCTTCCAGTGCATCACCATGGAAGGCTGGACCGAGATGCTCTACTTCGTGAGTCCATCTTGCTGCCGCCACGGCAAAAGTCAGCGGCGTCGAATGGAGGCAAAGGCCAACCGTGTGCGACGCTGCCGCCTGTTTTGGCTTTATTTTTGCATCGCAGAGGGCCGCGATTCGTGAAGGGCCAGTGGCATCGTGATGGTTGTTGGACCGGGAAGTCGTTCTTTCCAAGCAGCGTCCTCTCGACATCGTCATGAGCTGGTCTCTTTTTGTCGGCCTCCCCGGCTCCTCTTTCTCTATTCTGGTCCGTCTGGATCTATTTTTAACGTCCGCTCTGAGGGATGAAGATTGACCAGCGGCCGATGAAAGTTTAATGGCACTCGGCCCTCCAGCAGGCTACACTTGAGAGCCTCGCTCGGGTCAGAACGAGGAAAAAAAAAACGACCCAAGGAACAAGCAGATGTTAGCTTGTAGGCTAAGAATCAAAAGAATTCAAAAAATCTTGTATATTATGACCGCAGTTTAATATATATTTTTGGGCAGACACAAGTAATACATTAATCGGCATCACAATAAACAATATTAGATTTATGATTTGACATTTTGGGGACTTTTGGTGTTTAGGCTTATGCTAAAATAAATGTGTATGCGCGTGTATCATTGTTATTATTCTTTTCGTTTTTTCCACATTGAAGCCTTTGGGATTTGATTTGAAAATTACATTGCACTGCATTGCAATGTTAATTTGGATTTGCTTAGTTGATCGGCCCGAGCGCACACCAAAAACAAAACATTTGGGGAAAAAAAAAAAAAAAAAAAAGTCAAAAATCGACACATCCTTTTTTTGGGCCAAGTTCATACAACTTGGCGTCCAACCAAAATTGGGTGGCTTTGTGTCAACAAGAATGGCTTGTCTTCCATGCAACCCAAGTTTTTAAGGCAAATTTAGTAGACATATTTTTTGAAATCCAGTTTTTCGAGTGTGTACGTGCGATCTCTCAACATCTGCTCTGTTTGTGTACGTTGGTTGGTGTTAGAGTAACGACGTGGAGGGCAGCGCGTGGAACTGGATGTACTACATCCCGCTCATCATCATCGGCTCCTTCTTCATGCTCAACCTGGTGCTGGGCGTTCTCTCTGGGTACGCCTTTCCTTTTTTCTGGAGAAAATTGATGGACCGTATTTTCCGTACTAAACGGCGCACCTAAAAGCCTTCCGTTTTCTTAAAAGCTCGCAGCGGCCCTTAAAATCCGATGCGCCTTGTTTATGGTTATTACGGTAATATGTCGACCCCAAAATGCCTCCATGCTCACGACGCAGAGTTCAAAATTAAGGCGATCGGGTTACGCAGTTGAACACGGAAATAGAGTTCAGCGTTAATGAGTCAAAGTTATAACTTGCTCATGGTGAAGTGAACTGTGTCGCTGCTTTATTAAATAAGTTTTACTGACATCTCATCGTTCTGTTTGCGTTTCCTTGAACGTAGCTCCATCTTCTGGAGGCATTGTAGATTTCGTCTTAAAATGGCCAATGTATGAAAAAAATGACGCCTCATAATCCAGTGCGCCTATTAGTGTGGTAAATACGGTAGTTGTTGAGGGCTAACATGTCCTTCTGCCACCGGTGCTTCCAGCGAGTTTGCCAAAGAGCGAGAGCGCGTGGAGAACCGCAGCGAGTTCCTCAAGCTCCGGCGACAGCAGCAGATCGAACGCGAGCTCAACGGCTACCTGGAGTGGATCTGCAAAGCAGGTGAGCGGCGCGCTATACTTTGTAGAAAAGCCGACGCGCGGCACGATCTTGACACCGACGTCTCTTTGGTCGCCTGCAGAGGAGGTGATCCTGGCAGAGGAGGACGGCGCGGGAAACTTTGACGGTGACCCCTCCCCCCCGGTCTCTCTATTCCGCCGCACGTAAGAGGCCACTATGTGAACAACTGCACTGTTATCGTCACGCCAGGTTCCCGGCGACGGCCGACCATGAAGTCGAAGAGCAACAAGACGGAGCTGCTCAACACGGAGGAAGGTGAGGGCGGCATGCGAGATGAAACTATTGACGTGACATGTTAGGGCGACGTTGGCTGGCGGCGTATGGCGGCAACCCGTTCACGTTACATCGTAATGGTATTCTGTTTTTCGCTGCGACCCAGCAACACCTTCACACTGCACGCTGATGCTACACGACAAGCTTACAGTGAGAGTATTTTTATGCTTAGAGAAAACACATTCAGTCTACATTGCAACAACACGTTCATACGACGTCGAAGCGGTCTGTTTACATTGCACCACACTATTCACACTAAATCCTAAAAGTAAATAAACAAAAGAAAATGCTTGATTGTTTTCCAAACTCACTCATTGGGTAGCTGTGGTTGTGGAGCAGTTTGGCTTACTTTGACCCAAGGTTGGGCTACTTATTTTGACCCAGCAGATTGGGTTGAAATTTGCATTTTAGAAGCCGAAAGAGCTGAAGCTAGTCGATATTATGGAAACATTTTTATGTGCCTATGTACACTGAAATTTTAAGTAAATGTCATGTAGGATTCTCCGAAATTGTTGCTGGTGAGGGGACGACTCAGTGGCTAACACCGCTGACTCGACACTTGATCTGGGTTCAAATCCCGGTCAGAAATCTGACTAATGCTAATTAGTCCAGGATTAAATTAGCATGATCTTGAACCACAGATAGTCGCGCTTTTGGTTGAACTCTTCACTGCGGATACTTTTGACTCCCATCTTGACCCAACATGGCGGGTGTAAATAACCCAACACGGGCTCGGTACCTCTCGGGGGGGGGTGAGCTATTTCAGCTAACTTGGGCTCCTTGAGATCGAGCAGTTTTGAAGCGTGTCGGACAGGATTGGAAGACTAACGCAAGCGCTGGCCCGCCCGGGTCAGGCTTCGCCCGCTCCAGCATCAAGAGCGGCAAAGATGGCTCCAGCTACAGCAAGAAGGAGAAACGGCTGCGCTTCTTCATCCGCAAGATGGTCAAGACGCAGGCCTTCTACTGGACCGTCCTGTGCCTGGTGGGCCTCAACACCATGTGCGTGGCGGCCGTGCACTACGACCAGCCCGAGCTGCTCTCCGACTTCCTGTGTGAGTGTCGCCGGACCGAATTGCTGTCCTCACTCGCGTTTCCCGCCATCGCCGGCTCTTCTTCAGCATCCATTTGTGGTCCGTGATGATGCTCTAGCTCGGGAAAGTCCGAAAAATGTGTTTTTTCCTCATCTTCTCTGTGCAGTCTATGCGGAATTTATTTTCCTGGGTTTGTTCATGTCCGAGATGCTGATCAAGATGTACGGCCTCGGCATTCAGCCCTACTTCCACTCCTCCTTCAACTGCTTTGATTGTGTGGTGAGAGCACACGTTAATGCGCGCTAACGCGCGCGATCCCTAACACCCTATCGCTAGCGCCCTTTCGCTGACGCTAATGCGCGCAAACGCTCGCGCGCTCATTGCAAGTGTTTGCGTGTGTTCGAAGGTGATCATGGGCAGCATCTTCGAGGTGATTTGGGCCACCATCAAGCCCGGCACGTCTTTCGGGATCAGCGTGTTGCGGGCGCTGAGGCTTCTGAGAATCTTCAAGGTCACCAAGTGAGTGGACGCGTCACACGGTCTGGCACTCAAAGTTATTTTTTTTCCTTCTTGCGAGCAGAGGTTTTCGCGCTAGCAGAAGGCGCCGGTTCCATCAACATGTTCTGGTGACATGAAAAGGGTTGTGCGGACGGTGGTTTTGCTCAGGTACTGGGCTCCTCTGCGCAACCTGGTGGTGTCCCTGCTCAACTCCATGAAGTCCATCGTCAGCTTGCTCTTCCTCCTCTTCCTCTTCATCGTGGTCTTCGCCCTGCTGGGCATGCAGCTCTTCGGCGGCCAGTCAGTCACCGCTCGCGCAGCCTCGCTCGGCAAGGCTTGGCCCGACTTTTCTGATTTCCCTTGCCCTTGCGTTCTTTCCATCCCAGGTTCAACTTTGAGGACGGAACGCCGCCCACCAACTTTGACACTTTTGCGGCGGCCATCATGACGGTGTTTCAGGTAGTCAGCTGTTGATTTTTAACTCGTTCACTGCCGCTGAGGTTTCCCCTCGTCAACTGGAATGCAAGCGTTCACTACCACAGACGAACATATTCGTCAAGCTGGTCTGTGAAAGTCAAGCGTCTGTAGAAGTGCAGGGAGCACAGCTTTGGAGTAGAAAATGGAGTTGTTGTTTTGTTTCTTCACTCCAGTGTAGCAAAAATATGTCTTCTCTTTCCGTCGGGCCCCGTGCAACGCATGCTTGACTTTGACGTAGTTATTTTTGCCATGACCGGCAACTATCCCCCAACTGGCCGAGCGTAACTTAGCTGTGAAATTCACGGAAGAACTTGTTCGAGAGAGTGGTTAATTCATTTTGTCTTTTAGCCCAGTATATTTTTTAATGAATTACATTTTCGTCTTGTCTTCATGAGTTCACGAAAATGCGTCCCAGTTCTTGTTCGTGAATGGAGGTTTTTGTCTCGTCTCGTCTAGTTTTTGTTCCGGTGAAAAATGTGCGTCGATGGAAATATTTTTGTCGAATTGTCGCTAACGAAATGAATTCTTCATCACTCACTGTGCTTTTCTTAGTTGTAAATAATTTGGCCGTCAGAAGGATTTTGTCACTTGTATTTCTTGTTTTACATATGTTCGAGGTGTCGCAAAAAACACAGTTTGCTCCTTTTCTCCGCTTGTGTTTTTGGTTAACATTTTTTCTGGTGCTAGAAGCGAGTCTAGTCTTTTTGTGTGTGTTGAGAAGATCCTGACGGGAGAGGACTGGAACATGGTCATGTACAACGGTATCGAGTCTCAAGGGGGCGTCAACGACAAGGGCATGATCTTCTCCATTTTCTTCATTGTCCTCACCCTCTTCGGCAACTGTATCCTTTGACCTGAGCCCTCACACCGCTGCCTCCCACATTCATTTATTTGTGTACGATTGCAAATGGAAAGAAATATTTTTTTAGGATTTCATATGCCTAACTTGGTCCACCTCAGACACGCTGCTCAATGTCTTCTTGGCCATCGCCGTGGACAACCTTGCCAACGCCCAGGAGCTCACCAAGGTCAATCAAAGTCAACCACGTCTCCAAAATGGTCTTTGTGGACAGAAAGCATCACAAGTTTGTTTTGAAAATCATTCTCGTGACAGGATGAGGAGGAGCAAGAGGAGGCGGCCAATCAGAAGACGGCGCTGCAGAAGGCCAAGGAGGTGGCCGAGGTCAGCCCGCTTTCGGCCGCCAATCTCTCCATTGCCGCGTGAGTAGACAACTGCAACGTGTGTCCTCTGTTTATTCCTGACACGCTAGTAGTACTTTTCTCCCTAAGAAGTTGGGGATATTGCATGTTGGGTTCTGAAAAAAAAAATAAAGACACTTATATGTTGTGTATGAAAACAACCACATAGCCTCTGCTAGCTTGCTGCTATCACAAAATGAGAATCGCCATTGATGGGCGAACGGATAGCATCTCTGTGCATCGTTTTTTTTCCATCAAGCTGCTCATATTTGAACCCCAACGGTGAAGTAACCGATGTACAGTATGTGAAGTCAGTAAATCTTTATGTGTGCCCGCCCTTGGCGCAGTAAGGAGCAGCAGAAGAATCACGCCAAGGCGGGCGGCAAGTCGGTGTGGGAGCAGCGTACCAGCGAGATCCGCCGGCAGAACCTGATGACCAGCCGAGAGGCGCTCTACAACGAGCTGGAGCAGGACGACTGGAAGGTGGGAGGCGAGGGGGAGGAGGTGAGGACTACCGTAACGCTTCTCATGTGCGCTCGCTCCGCAATGCTGTGTTCGAGGGAAAGCCCCTGGCTTACTTGGCCCACCCCGACGACAGCATTGCAGATGATCTCATGATCTTACCTGGAGACGGCCTTTTCATGTCACTTGTAACAATGTTGTGCTGAGTAACTATGGAAAAAAAAAGTAGTCCACTGTAGCATAAGCAGTGACCTGCTTTTAAAAAAAAGTTCCGCCTCTTCTGGGTCACGCATACGTTTGGCGTGATGTCCCTAGAACGTCACGCCAGCCAACTGTCACGGCACTCGCTAGCTTCCAAATGCTAAATGGCAAGCCGCCTGCTTGGGAGCTCTGCATTATTAACAGTAGAACACATCAGAAGGTGGGCGGGGGACGAGTGTCACGCACTGATCAGAAATCCACTGGATTAAACGAAACGTTTTCTGACATTTTGTGTGTCTGCAAAGACCCCTAAGGAGCTAAAATGGTGTGTGGGTGGATATATATGCGCCTTGTGTATGGTCATTACGGTCATATGTCGACCCCAAGATGGCTCCTTCCTGGAGACATGCTTACAATGTTATAACTTGCTGTTGGTTCAGTGAACTGTGTCGCAGCATTATTAAATAAGTTTTAGTTGCAGCTCCGAAAAAAAGAGGGCTGTGGTGTTGTTTTTTTTAAAAGCCACACTTTAAGAGTGTTTTTCAGTCTCAACAAATACAGGGACGTCTTTGTCCGTCCGTCTCCGTGCCTTCTCTTCTTCCGTTCGACGCGAGAGGCATTCATGACCGCCGCGGAAAAACGTAAATTAACGATTCCTTCATTGAAACTACGAAAATGGAAAATAATGCATCAAAACAGAAAATCAAGTGAGGAAATCACAAAATAAATTCTGTAGCCCCCCCTACAGAATTTATTTTGTGATTTCCTCGTTTGTGAATACAGTACACAACAAAGGAATAAACAACAAACACTTCTGAGGCAGTCCAGTCTCCGTACAACTTACTAACATCTGATCGTTCTGTTGCAGCTGTGCTCAAAGAAATGCCAAAATAAATTCTGTCGGGGGGCTATAGAATTAATTTTGTGATTTTCTGTTTTGATGCATTACTGTATTTTCAATTTTCGTAGTTTCATTGAAGTAATCGTTAATTTATGATTTTTGGAGGCGGTCATGGACGCCTCTCGAGTCAAATGAAGGGATGTAGCTACAGGGGCATGTATTTCCGTGACAGTCCATCTGGCTCCTTCTCCTTTACTGGGCTTCTCCTGCCTGAGGCATTCACAAAGCAGGTCCTATAAATATATAGATCGAGTGGTAGATATACATTACACTGTGTGGGGTCTGTAACAGACAAAAAAAAAAAAAAACAATCTAAACTCATTGCGTGAACCCGGCCTGAGTTCACCCGGTTCCCACTGCACCCTCTAATCCCATCTGGGACTCTCTCTTCCAGGTTTCGTTCGCACGGAAAGGCCGTGGCGACATGAAGACCCACTTGGACCGTCCCCTGGTGGTCAACCCCCAGGACAACCGCAACAACAACACCAACAAGACTCCCCCCGGCCAGCTGCCCCTGGACCAGGAATACCGGCAGCAGGACCTGGACCACACCCACCGCGCCACCCACCACCACCATCACCACCACCACCACCACCACCATCGCCACCACCATCGCCACCAGAGGGCTGACCCATCGGAATCGCTTGGTCAAGAGCAACCGGTGGCGGCCAACGACGCGGGACAAGAGGCCGGCAACCAGGAAGGGCAGCAGCCGGAGGAAAGGCACGGCCACAGGAGCCACCGGGGGCACCGACACCGGAACCGGTGCGACGGTTGCAGTGCGTCCCCTCATCACGCCGGCACCACCGAGGGCAACAATGAGCAGCGCAGGGCCAGGCATCACTGCAAGGCCGCCAAGGAGGGCGAGCCCGGCAGGAGGCGCAAGTCCAAGGGAGCCGAAGCGGACGGAGACAAGGGCGAAGACGGGGAGTGTCGCAAGACTCGACGACATCGTCATGGCAACCCGGATAGAAGCAGAGGACATCGCTCCAGAAAGTCAATGTACCGACATTTTATTGTTTCTGATTGGCGAGATGCAAGTCTTTTGACTGGATGATTGTCGGAAAAAAGCTTGTGCTTGGCCGGACGGCTGTGGCTGGGGCTTGTGTTTGGTTGGATGCTAGCAAGTAAGGCCTGATGGTCAGACTTTGGATTAGCTAGAGGGGGTAAGGGGGGCATTTAATGTCATTGTCTTATGCTGTAAAGTGTTCTTGTGTTAATTCTGCAAGAAAATCTTTGGCCAAATTTCAGAATGTGCTTGAAGTGCGCCCTCCAGTGGACACAATTAGCAACAACCGTTAACTTTCTTGAAAACACTTCGGTTCTGGCCCTTGGTCCAGATAATAAAACCGAGGTTATTGATCGGACAGATTGTAGCATGTATTGTTGATTGCCGCCTTTGATAGAATGCTGGGTGGTTCAGTTGATTTTTGATGGTCGTAACAAAGCTTTCGATTGGCTGAATTCTTCATTGAAAGGTCTGAGCTACTGCTTGTGAGGGTTAAAGACAAGACTTGTGATTGACTTGGTCTGGTTGGTAGAAGGTGAAGCTTACTCCTCCTCCCACCTCCTTCCTCCTTGGACCAGGGAGCACCAAGGCGCCGGTCCCAGCCTGTCCACCGTGCGGCCCATCCAGCAACGCAACGAGGACCTGGACAACTTGCGCAACAACAGCAAGCTGGCCAGTCGGCCGTACGACCTGCCGCCGCCTGACGAGCCGGAGCACATCAACAACCTGCTCAACTGCTGCGACGCCGACACCCACACTCTCCTGCGCAGCATGGACAGCCTGATCCTGAGCAGCATGGCCAAACCGGACTATACCAGCATTGACATGCCGCCCGTCTACCCTTACCCGTCAACCAACGCCATCCTGCAAGGTGTGAGCACTTTTGTTTTTCAGCTCGACGGAACCGGGGTCCATCCGAACTTCTGGTCTTTTCCCCAGTGAACAAGAACGCAAACACGGACCAGAAGAAGGAGGAGAAGAAGGAGAACGGTAACGACGACGGCGACGATGACGGACCCAAGCCCATGCCGCCTTTCAGCTCTTGCTTCATCTTGTCGACCACCAACCCGTGAGTAACCCGAGCCCAAAACGTCGTCCCGTCAAGACCTCGCCGTTCTTCACGCTACGGAGTCGTTTGGTGTTCCAGCTTCAGGAGGTGCTGCCACTACATCCTCACCCTGAAATACTTTGAGTTTAGCATCCTGTCCGTCATCGCCATGAGTAGCATTGCACTCGCAGCGGAAGACCCGGTGTCGCCGGACTCGCCGCAAAATAACGTAAGAACCTCAGCGTAGCGTATTTTACATTTCCTGATCTCGGGTGCTTTGTTGTGCTTCTCTGCTGATGACTGTCACCTCATCCTCAGGTGTTGCGCTACTTTGACTATGTCTTCACTGGCGTCTTCACTTTTGAAATGCTCATCAAGGTACAATGATGTCACCAGTTCTTGTTCTACATTTGATGTCAAATATAAAATGTTTTTTTTTTCTGAAGTAGACTCATGTCTTTAGACCTGATCTTAAATCAGAGAGTTCATGGTGATTAATTGAAGCTTCAAATTCCCTTCCTGAACCAGTTGTATTACTCTTGGTTAAAATGAACGCGTTGAAGAAATGGCCAGTCACTGTGCGCTCAGCCTAATTTTGAACAGAGTGCCATCCAGAGGAGTCAAAATATACAACTGGTTCGTGAAGCAAATTTGAAGTTTCATTTTCCCATCACTACCTACGTCCCTTATTGCTCAAAGACTTCATGTAGACATGAGTCCTTTTTGATGCACTGTCAGTTAGTAGAGCTTTGCGATTTCTCCCAGCCAAAGAAAAATAGAATAGATTCAAACCAAGCAGAATAAATGACAAGACTTCCAGATATATTGTAAGGTATTACAATACCCTACCTCAGAATGCATTTTTAAGTCGCCTTATTTCCAGTCCCCGATTAGGTAAATGTCCACAATCATAATTAGCATCAATGGCTAACATGGTGTTGTCATGACGACTGACATGCTCCGTGTGGTCCAGATGGTGGTGCTGGGCCTGTTCCTCCATCAAGGCTCCTACTTCCGCGACCTGTGGAACATTCTGGACTTTATAGTGGTTAGTGGTGCTCTGGTGGCCTTCGCCTTCACGTAAGTCACTTCCTCCTCCTCCGCTGTCATCTTCACCCGCAACACACCTCGGCCTCATTCGTCCGCAGAAAGACTCTTGTTTCTGGTCGCTCGAAAGGCCTGGACAATGTTGATGCCTTCGTGAAGCAGATCGCAGCACTGATCCACTTCCTCTTTGAAACGCTCTTCTCTCTATACTCTCCTCATTGTGAACATTGTATCAGCTGGTCTTTCTCTGCGTTCACCACCGCCATCATTCATCATTTCACATCGATCACGCAGGCCTCTGCCAAGGTGGTGGTGATGGACACTCGACAACTGCCAAACACTTCGACGGCGAAGAAAAAATTTTCAGCTTTCCCGATCCGAACCATATCATTTTCTATTTGCAAATGAAACCCAGGCGGATGCACGCGCCTTGGCAGAGGTCATCAACTTTTTGATTCACCTTGGAGACCCTTCACGGGAAGCCTTAAGCCTGTTCTACACTGTCCTACAGTTGCAGTTTTTGCGCTGTCTGCTGTACTGCATCTTTAGTTATGCTTTTATGGTTTTAACGCAACCGCACTGTATTTTTTAGAGGGGATAAAAATGGAATTGGGTGTTTTTAAAAAGTGAAATCTTTCAAGTCTGCTTTCGTGCAATTTTAAAGGAATTATAATCTTGATTTTCTCCGCAGTGAGAAAAAAAATGGACTTTTGCGGCGTTTGCTGGTTGGAGAGTGTTGAACAGGCTTTCACATTGTCACCATTCAATTTCAACTTTGAGTTTCATTGAGAAGACCTTCAGGGGTCCTAAAAGGGCACCCTGAGGAGTCCCCAATCACCACCATCCACATCCAGCTTGACCCCAAAGTCACCTGAATGTCACTCTTCCTGTAAGTGTCTAATCTTTTGGAACTCACTCTCCAAACTGTCTCCCCCAACGCCGCTACGATTTTCCCGCCAAGCAGGCCGTGAGTCATCCCGTTCTCGCTTTTTTTTACATTTCTTGACATCACGTGACATGACTCCACTTCACCATTAGGACCCTCCCACTTCCTACCCATTAGAATGTCCTGGAATCGCACTTTTTTCACCAGATGTGCACCAATATATTGTCATCTTTGGCCCAAATTTCAAGAAAAAAAATATACCAACTCATTCTTTGGACAAAATAAAAGGTGCTTTCGACCCGTTTGAAAAATTAAAAGCTGTGCTTTGGTCTCCTCCGACCTCCTTTTCCACCTCCTCCTCCTCTCTTGCTTCTTTCCTCCTTTCTCTCTCTCTCTCTGTGTCACACACACTCGGGCACACTCACACAGGCACAGGCACATGCACGAGCATTGCACAACAGGTTTTCAGCATGGTCAGCGTGCAATGTTGAGGGCCAAGTTTGCAGACCCTCAGCACCCTTCATGTAAACGCTGAATGTTCCATTTTGATGACAGGACTGCATGGCGAGTGTGGGTGCGTGCGAGCGCGTTTTTTTCGGGGCTCGCGATTCAGGAGCCCCGCGTCTCTTTCGCGCCTCCCCAGTCCTGACGTGCTGGTGTAACATCTCGGGAGACGAGTGGCGATCTAATGAGGGCAATTTATGCGCTCATACTGATTTGCCGTCATGAGATACGAGCGAGGCGTAAGCCACGCGGCCGCGCAAGAAGCCCCTTTTTAGTCATGCCTGTGTGTTGAGTTCATCGCGACCTGCGGGGTAGTTTCATCAACAAAATATGATTATAATGGGTGTGGAAAATATGGTCGCTTAGCATAAACTGCTCAAGTGAAATAATTGAAGACGCATTTTCATTTCCTTTTTTACAAAAAAATTGTTTGAATGTGTCATTTTTTTTATTTGTATGCAGTTTTATGTGTTTTGTGGTGTTAATTATTAATTTATTTTCTTTTATTCCATTTGTTTTCATTTTCATCGTAGTTTATTTTCTTTGGTAATTTTGACAGTATTTTTGTTCAGGTTTATGTTTAGTTTATAGATTAGTCTATTTCATTTTGATTTTATTAGTACCTTTTATTTTAGAGTGTTTTATTTTATGATCTTTGAACATTTTTGACTGTGTGTTGTATTTCATTTGTGCCTATTTGTTCTGTTATGCCTTATTCATTTAGATTTTTTTACATTTCATTTTTTAATCATTATTTCATTTTTAATATGTTTGATTTCATTTTATCTTTATTTTTTTCTTTCATTTGTATGGTGTATGCACTTGATTGAATATTTTGGGTTTTTTTCATTTTTATTTTACATTTTTGTAGGCATATTCAATTTTTACATTTTTATTTTCTTTGTATACTTTTTAATATCCTTTTTTTTTACATTTTATTTTCATTTAATCATCTGTATTTTATTCTTCTTTTCATCTTTTGGCCGTGCTTCCACACTCGCTGTCCTCCTCCTGATTGTGTGTCGCTGTCGTGCCCGATGTCGCTTTCAAAACTTTGCCTCTCTCTCGTCTTTTGTGTGGCGTTTTGTGTCAACCTCTTCTTCTCCCTCCGTCGCTCTCTACCCGTCACCGCAGGAGCGGCACCCGGTAAAGTTCTCTCCGTCCTCCTGCAGAGCCGGAACACTGTGGCTTCTCGCTCTTTCTTTCTTTGTTCTTCTGCGTGTCGTCCTGTCGCCTCATCCTCGCCATCACGCCACATTGATGGATTTGTGTGAAAAGCAACATTTTGTCCCTTCAAAAAAATCAAATCGGACAGACCGCCACCCTGAATGCCTCACGTCTGGTTTTGCATCCACGTTGGCAAAGTCATGCGATGCTGCACATGCATCGCATGACCGCCGAGGTCCCGCACGGCCTCCGTTTCCCGCCATCGGTGGCGGCGAGCGGACGCTTTGTGTTTGCTCACAGAAGAACTTTTTTGATATCTGAAAAAGCGAAAAAGAAAGAAAGAGGTTTGGCTGGGCACTCTGCCGGGAGATGCCTGTGGACACGGAATGATGACGATGACGATGATGATGATGATGATGTCCATGAAATCCCCCCAAGACGTCTGTGGTTTCATGTTTGACTCAAATTTGAAGCGCTGTTTTTGTTTGCAAATGGCCGGCGGTCACCTTCTCGTTGTTCCCCGGCTGGCCTGCAGGGGAAGCAGTAAGGGCAAAGACATCAGCACCATCAAGTCGCTGCGAGTGCTGCGGGTTCTGCGTCCTCTCAAGACTATCAAGAGACTCCCCAAGCTCAAGGTAATGATGAGACCAGATTGCAAGATCAATTTCATGAAAACTGATCGAATCGACATTTTCGGGAACAAAAGTCAAATAAAATCAAGTGTTTTTTCAAAGCGATATTGAAGGGAAACCATTTTTTTTTGGATTGTTGTTCGAGTGAATTAAAATAATCGCGAAAAGGAAAATGATGGACCATGTTCATCTTGGTCAATTCATTTCGGACGTGAGCTTTCGGGGTTTATTTTGCCATATAAATTTCTTATTTTCAGTATTCTAGCACAACAAGGCTTTTGGGTATTGTAGTTTTTGTTTTTTGACTTGTTACAAAATACTTTTTTCGAATTCTGAAATGGTCTACTTATTCAGTTGCATATGATAAGAACGCGAACAACAACTATATACATTGATAATAGGTTTATTTCTTATAAACAAATGCTGCAAACATGTAAATAATTCAGGCATACAAGATTTGCTGAGAAATAGGTTCTTATTTCATCCCATGGTTCAGTCTTTGAGTTCATAAATTCTCTTCTCTTGACTCTGCTTGCAATGATGCAAGGCTTTCTCAAACTCAACTTATTATCGCAAAAAACTATCCAACTTTAGATGCTTCTCAAAACTTTCGCAACACTTGTTTTAACATGACACAACTTGGCAATCGTCTGCTTTCCACGAGGTGACGCCCAATCTTGCCAATCTCTCGAGAACGGAAATCTCGTCACGCGACATTACTGAACGCGAGATCAAAACGACAATGGCAGCGATTGTCAAACTGCAATCGTTGCTGGGAAAAAAATTTACCGTAGTTTTTTTTTTTTTTTTTGCGGGGGGGGGTGTGACTGAGAAATTATTTGGAACTGTGCATCTGGCGGGAAAATTATGCGTCTAGGATGCGGGACGCAGAGGTCATGAGATGGCTGATTATGTGTATACAGTGTGTGTGTATACTGTATCTGTATAAAATTGTCTATGACTATTTTTATATTTGTATTTATCGGCGTACACACACACACACACACACACACACACACACACACAAACACACACCCGTTTCTTCCCTCTGTGTAGGCCGTGTTTGACTGCGTGGTGAATTCTCTGAAGAACGTCCTCAACATTTTGATCGTCTACATGCTGTTCATGTTCATCTTCGCCGTGGTGGCCGTGCAGCTGTTCAAGGGTCGCTTCTTCTATTGCACCGACGTTTCCAAAGAGTTTGAGCGCGACTGCAGGTGGGAACGAAACCCCCGAGCGGGCGTCTCTCGCGGTGCGATGACGGCCGCCCGTGCTCATGTTGATGTGGCGTCCCGTGCAGGGGCGAGTTTCTCATGTATGACAGGGATGAGGTTCGAGCGCAGAAGCGCGAGTGGAAGAAGTACAATTTTCACTACGACAACGTGGCTTGGGCCCTCCTCACACTCTTCACTGTCTCCACTGGAGAAGGGTGGCCACAGTGAGTGCACATGCGCGCACACGCACACACACACACACACACACACACACACACACACACACACACACACACACACACACACACACACACACTATTACATTTACAATATTCACGTTGAGAATACAGTGGTCGACTGGCTGGCCATCAAATAGGAAAAAAGTTATCTCATAATAAAATGGATTAGAGCCCAAAACTTCTTCCCAAAGAAACTCTGCTTTCCTCCCGATATGTATTCTTCACAATAATAAATCAATATTTTTAAAAATGAAAAAGACTTTAGAAAAAAAATTAGTGACTTTCTGTTTGAAAACGTTGTATTTTGAAAAAAAACGGCTGGATTTCAATGTCTGCTAAAATTCCCAAAGAATGTTTACAATTTGAAGGCAAACATCTCTAAACGAGTACAGTTTTAATATCAGAAAAAAGCTTTAATTTTACGTGATAATCATTTTAGTAGGCTTCTGATCATTCCAAGGATGTGGACCATTTTTATTGGCTTAATTTGACAATCGATGAGTTGTCGATGAATCGTTGCACTTCTAACGCAAGGTTAAAGTGGCGTCAACGTAAAGGAAAAAAAAATCTCTCCTCTTAACCATCGTAGCTTTGCACCAAGGTATTTGGCCTCATCCGATCCATTTTGAGAGAATCTTGAATGGTCCGGTGCGCCGCTTTGCGTGCAGGGTGTTGAAGGCCTCCGTGGATTCCACTTACGAGAACCAGGGCCCCAGCCCAGGCTACCGCATGGAGATGTCCATCTTTTACGTGGTGTACTTCGTGGTCTTCCCCTTCTTCTTCGTCAACATCTTCGTGGCCCTCATCATCATCACCTTCCAGGAGCAAGGCGATAAGATGATGGAGGACTACAGCCTGGAGAAGAACGAGGTGAGGACGAGTAATGGGCCCGGGGCCCGGCGCCGGCACGGCCGGCTTGGCTGACGCCCGTTCTTCCCTGCAGAGGGCCTGCATCGATTTCGCCATCAACTCCAAGCCGCTGACGCGCCACATGCCCAAGAACAAGCTCAGCTTCCAGTATCGCATGTGGCAGTTTGTGGTGTCCACGCCCTTCGAGTACAGCATCATGGCGCTCATCGCGCTCAACACCATCGTACTCATGATGAAGGTGAGGCCCCGCAAGGCCGCCGACCAACAATTGCCATTTTGGTTTTGTCCCTTAATATTGCAATCGCGATTGAAAATACAATTGTTTTCTTTACGGTTCTTTTTTTTTTGCCCCTCCACAAAAACAAGCAATGAATGAATCTGTGTTCCCAAAAAAAAAAAAAAAGAACAAATGCTGAATTTATTATACGTCAAAGTTTAGAATCCCCTTTAGTTGTGTGTTTGAAAAAAACTCCGAGCCTTGCCTTCTCCACCCACTATCTGAATGCTATTGCTAAAAAGTATTGACGCCGTAGCGCGAGAACCCTTGAGGCGATGACGTGAACATAAATAACTCCAACAACAGTAAACCGACAATATAAAACTACCCGTAGTCATATATTCTTTGTCCTCTGCAACGACCAATCAGTACGAGTGCCGTACTGATGAACTGAGAGGAGTTGAGACGTCTCAATGAGCAATATTACGGAGAGCTCTTTTGATTGTTTTTGAGGCGAAAAGCTGGAACAAATTCATGGCATTTCCACTCCATTCTTTTTCATATCTGCCAAAAGTGCTGCTTGAGTTCACTTGAAATGACTTTGTGGCGCGAGGAAGCGATGCTCGGCTAACCTGCTCCCCTGTCCCTGCAGTTTGACGGCGCCTCGGAAACGTACGACGATGTCCTGCAGAACCTCAATATCGTCTTCACCACTTTCTTCTTCTTGGAGTCCATCCTGAAGCTGGTCGCTTTTGGCCCTCTGGTGACCACACGCACACACACGCACAGTGTCACACACTCACCCAGTCTCACACACGCTCACATCGAGGCTCTCATCATTGATTCATGAGGCAGGTTTATTTTGGTAGACAGATCTGGAGCGTGTTCTCCATATCCCCGAAAAACCCCGACGTGCGCACGCCAACTGTCATCCTCCTGCCGCCCCTCGTTTCCATGGGAACATGGGTCTTTGGACGACCGCTAACTTCCTCCTTTGTCCAAAACAGAATTTCTTCAGAGATGCCTGGAACATTTTTGACTTTGTCTCCGTGCTGGGGAGCATCACGGACATTTTGGTGACAAAATTAGGGGTAAGTGGGCTTAAGTCGTGCCAAAGCAACACCTGCGCCATCCTTGTGTTGTGGATTATGAGAATGCGAATGGTCATCGGTGAAGTTTTACAGAAGCATCAGTATCTCATACGATTCTCGTCTGTGTTGTTTTGAGATCCCTCTCTGGTGTCCACTCAGCAGCTGTTAGCTTAGCGGCTAAATCTTGCTAGCAAACGAGAACGCTAACGGCTGTCAAACAAACTGAAAATAAACGCGCACAAACAAAATAAATATTGGAATGTTTAAGATGTTGTTCGGGCGTTGCCATCTTGGAACGGACGGAGCTGTTAATGCCAAAGCTAGCTTTACAGACGTCTGCCTTCGCTAATGCCAAGCTAACAGACAAGTGCGTCAACTACACGCCCGTGACTCCAAGGAGGGCCTTGAATTTCTGCTAACTTTTTGCCATAGTGACTTAATGAGCCTTATAATGACTCACTCTTCTTCTTCTTCTTGTCTTTTTCTTTTCTTTAACTTCTCTGAAAAAAAATCTATTCCATCCAATCCCCTCCGCCCCCCTTCCCCAAAAATGCACTATGAAACCTTTCATCGTGTTGTCTTTCATCCGCATTGCTGCTGATGATGATGATTTTGATGATGATGATGTCATGTTTGTCATGTGACCATGCCCCAATCATGACACATGATGAATATACATTTAAATATATATATACTTTATATATATATATATCTATCACTATGTATAAATATATATTTCCCCCCCACCCCCTTCCCCCAACTTCCTTCCCATTCATCCCTCGACATCATCGCACATGTAGATTCTGGTTGGTTTGTAATTTATCTCTCAACGCTTCCTCTGCATCCTCATTGGTCGTGCTGACAAAGTCCCGCCCCCTCGCTGCCCCCCAAAAGCCGATCACCCAAACTTGGTGACCTTTGAACCCTCTGCATGCGCCCCCTGGATGAAATGGCACAATATTCGTGATGAATTGAATCATTTTTATTATTATCAAAACTGTTTTGTAGTATATGAGGAAAGGGTATCAAAATTAGGGATATTACTTGAATGAAACCTCGATATGAGGAGACTCAGTAAAAAAAACATAATGACAATAACATCGCAAACGACTTTACGAGAATAAAAATTGAAAACTGTGCAAAAAAAGTCTAAATATCAGAACAGTTTCGCAAAACAGACTTGCACCAAAACAAAATCGCTCATCAATAAAAATCATAATCATTCATGATGTCACAAACTAGAAAAACTTCACATTCTGAGAAAATGGTTGAATGATACGGGAAGAAGGTAGCAAACAACAAAAAGGTCACATCGTTCGAAAAAAAAAAAAAAAAGTAATACTTCAACAAAACCTTGCATTAAACCAAAACAAAATCTCAAATAAAAAAGTCGTAACATTGTGAGGGAAAAGTTGCAAATTAGACATAAGAGTAAAAATATTGCGAGAATAAAGCTTTGAACGACAAAAACGTCACACAAAGTTAGCCGGCAAATTTACCACGAACCAAAACAAGTTGCAATACGACTTCAATAAAAGTTGTCACACTGTGGCGACAAGGCCTTCTACTCAACATAAAATCTCACGTCATATTTGTAGGGGGAAAAAATGAAAAGAATACGTCGCAAACTACAAAAAAGCATCACATGATGAGAAACAAAGTGACTCCCAAAAGTCTTTCGACATTTACTTTTACTCCTGAAACAATAAAAGTTTTTTTTTGTTTTTTTTTAATTGACTTTGCTGAGCATGGTCAACAGCAAGCATCTTTTTGGGGAATGCTTGAATCCAAAATGCTGCATGCTGCTTGTGGTGAAGGCTGCTCGCTCCTCCCCCTTCCTCCTCCTGGCCTTGCCTGTCAACCCAACATCAGGGAGCTAATCATCCGAATTTGATTAGGATTTTTTTATCTCGCTAATGATCATGTCGTGTGAATGCTAACCGTTTCTGCAAAAGAGGGCAAAGGTTCCCCCTGGTGTCTGTGAGCGGCACTGCTGATGACATCAGGATATACACGTGCACAGTATACAGTGGTACTTCTAATTACGAACGTCTCTTCATACCAAATGGTCAAGTTACGAAACGCCTCAATAGAAAAATATTGCTTCATGTTACGAAAGGTAAAAATACGGTGTGGCCGGCTAATCGCAGCTCCGAGTTTCCTGAATGCAACATACTTCTAGCTGCTCTGTCATTGGCTGCTACCGAGCATCATCCTGTCATCCCATTGGCTAAGAGGGACCTCTGTCGAATGCGTGTGGATAGATAAATCGATCGTGACGTGTGGATGCGGCGTC